TCCTCCCCATGTGGGTGTGGTTCCTGCTAGTTATATATTAACAGCCAAAATGGAGGGCAGGAGATCGGAGATGTCTAGAGGAGCAGCTTTTCCCAGGCGACGGCCTTCCATCTCGCTCGTATTTCTTTGTTGGGGCGCCTTCCAGCCGGCAATCCCCCCCCCCCGCTCCACGCGCTCCACAGAGACTAGAAGGGTGTGGAAGATGGGAGTCAAGAGAGCAAAGGTGTGGCAAAGGATGGAGGGACTGGGATCCAGACAGGAAACGAATGAGCCAAAGCAGGAAGTCCCTCCCCCTACACACCTGGCCTCTGGTCCTGGGAAAGGGGGGCTCTGTACCCCCAGGGGTGCCAAGAAAGCCCAAACTTTGGGCCGAGTGAGTGTTGGATGGAGGAGCAGGGAAGGGAACAGCCCTCTGTCCTGGGTACCACCCTTTTCTAATTCGGCTTCATCCTGCTCCCAACCCATATTGGCCCCCTTTCCTCCACAAGGTCGGGACACTGGATCGGTCCCTTCTATGAACTGAAGCTTGCCTTAATGCTCTTGAGTGTAAAAAGCAATCAGTGACCAAGAAAGACAATTTCGTAAACACTGGTCCCCACGTTTTTTAAAAAAATTGATTGAGTATAAATCGGTGTTTTTTTTTCCTTTTGTTTGTTTTAATTAACCCGCCTTAAGTCATTCTGGTTCCTGGGCTGAGGTGCTCACAGAACACTCCGCAAGACAAGTCCAAAATTCATTTCTACTGATGGTCTCGGCTTTTGCACCATTAGCCCCTAAATAACTCTGCTTACTTGTCCAAGTATTGCCCAGCAAAGCAATTTGTCCTCTGAAGATGCCGGCCACAGACTGGGGAAACGTTAGGAAGAACAACCTTCGGGACACGGCCAAAGAGCCCGAAAAACCCACTCTGTTCTGCTTATCTTCACATCCCACTTGGGATAGGTTGGGCGCCGTGCACATTGCTTGGGCCTGCCAGCTTGGGTTGACATAGATGCCAACACAGAAGATGATGGCTCCAGCAAGGAGTTCTCCTTGCTACCACCTTTGATGGGAACTGACTTCTGGCTGGCTGTGGGAGATCAGAGTCACGTTCTGAACAGAAGCATTAGATCATCGGTAAAGGAGAGGTTCTTGTGCTCTGTAGGATGATGGTAGGGTTTATGGATGGAGAGAAGATCCACAGGTGATGTCTTCCAAAAGACCTACAAAAGCATAGTCAAGAATGGTTCCGAACAATTCAGTGGGATCTGATTGTCCTCCACCCAAACCTTTCTTCCCCTCCCTGCTTCTTAGTGGGCATGTCCTCCCCCCATTTCTGCTTTTCAATGAAAAATGCACAAAAACCGCAACAAATACCTGTAGAACTATGTCTTGGTTGCAATCGCCGTAGAACCTCCAAAGCCAGAGTACCTTGTTCAGTACCTTGAATTTCCAGTTAGCAGATGTGAACCACAGGAGAGTGTTTCTGCATTCATAGCTTTTCGATAGGACTTCCCCCGTGCAGCTAGCTCCGTGGAACAGCATGTGTGTTGCAGAGGTTCAACGTCTAGCATCTCCAGGCAGGGCTGGAAAAACCCCTAACCCTAGAGAGCTGTTGAGAGTCAAGGTTGACAACATTGGGCTAACTGGATCAACTAGAACTATGTCTTAAGTATAAGGCATAGTTCTAGTTGATCCAGTTGAGTTGAGTATAAGGCAGAATCCTACATTCCTGGATTTAGTCTGTACTAGAGATGGGCATGAACCAGATAAACAACGAATCGGAGTGGTTCGGGGGTAGCCCTGGAAAAACTAACACTACCCTGACTGTCGCCCACCTGCCCCCTTCTCCCATTGCCTCCTTCCGTGGTCCTGCCACCTCCTCCTCTTCCTCCTTCCTCCTCCTCCTGGGGGCCAGGACTCCTGTTTCTGCACATGTGCATGGCTATCAACGGATAAGCCTGTGCATGCGCAGAGACAGCCAGCTCAGCTTCCAGAAGGGAAACCAGGCCACTGTCGCTGAAGATGGTGGTGACGGAGGAGGAGGAAGAGGAGGAGGTGGCAGGACTGGGATGGGAGGCGAGAGGGGCAGCAGGAAGAAGGAGGTGAGGACGTCCGTTTTGCCAAAGCGAAGCGAAGCACCGAGTGGACGAAAGTTCGGTTGATTCGTTTCATTTCAGCAAAACAACTTGCACAAAGCGAACCACAAACCAGCCTACTTCGCAGGGGGATTTTCGATTTGCCGTTTAGTTCATGCCCGTCTCTAGTCTATAGGCTTCTCAGTCTTCTTAACTTGCTGATGACCTTAGAGGTGGGAAAAAATGTGGCCTATAAAAAGGACACATTGATTTGCTGGAAATTGTGGGCTTCACTTCTGCATCTTCCATGGTCACCCACGGATCCCAGCTGCGATGCCTCTTCCACCCCAAGCAAACTATGAGCCCTGGATTTGCTTATTTTATTGACGAGTTACATTTCTACCCCACCTTTTATTTAATAGACTCCAGTTAGGATACCTGCCTCTTTTTTTTCTCTTCGCAACAAATTTGTGAGATAGGTCACAATGACAGAGCACAGCTTGGCCACGGTCACCCACCAAAAGTCAGATCCCATGTAATGGCAAATGCACGTTTCCTCTTCTTACATAATTTTCCCTCAAGGCATGCAAATCCTTCACAGCTACATACTTGAGATAGCAGATAGAAGGTGTGCTATCTCTCCGCAGATCAATTACAAAGCAAAAGGAGGTTAATTCATCAAATGTGGATGGAGGCGAACTTATGATAAGCAGACAGCTTTTCCGCTTAAGGGTGCACTGCTTCTAGACACAGAATCAGCGCCTCATTTGGTGGGTTTCATGGCTCAGTGGGGGATTTCAGTGTGAACCAAGGGCCAGTGCAACAGGGAATGGAGTCCTAAACTGAATTAGCGCCTTCTTTAAATGGGAACTCTGCATCTTACTTCCCCCCCCCTCCTCCAGGTCTGTGGATAAAGTCAAACAATATGAACACAAGTTCCCAGAGTGGGTGGATATAGGGAAAAATGTATCCACAGATTAGAAATCACAGAGGGCTGTTCTAGCCAGCCTTCTTTGTTCCTCACTTGCCTCTGGATTTTGTGTATCCAGATCAAAAGCTGTCTAGAATTGATAGGCACTCAATTCCTGTATCGTCTGAAAAACAGATAGGTCCTGGATTTTGGTAGGCAAGATCAGATGTGCAAACGCCACGTTGGAGAACCAGGCTATGAAAAGGCTTTGGGGCATTTCAGGGAGGCGACGAGCAAAACGTGAGTCAGCAGGACATTGCGGTGGCTAAAAGGACTACAGTAATGGACTTTCCAGCTCCATCCACCAAACGATTGTGTCCAGATCATGAGAAGCAATGCGGCTGGCTCTCCTGTTCCTCGGCCAGATCTAATTAGTACGGCCGTGATCATTACTGAGCACTGAAGTTTAAGAAATATATTGACAAATTGGAGCGTGTCCAGCAGAGGGCAAGGAAAACCGTCGGGACCTGGCAGGTCTTTTGTAAAGCTAATGGGTCTGAACTGCTCCTGGAAGGCCAAGCCAGCCTAAAAGGCTTCACATTAGAACATTGGCACATTTTGCAATGAAAAGAGATTGCTAGCCCCTTCCAGTTTCAAAATGAAGTCTTTCGGGCTTGCATAACTTTTAACTAGGGGTAAAATTGAGGGGGGGGAGAGATGGCACCCCAGAGAAGCTTCTGCAGCCATGATTTTACCGATTTTAGAGATGTACACATCATTCTGAAGTGCCAGTGGAGAGGGCAGCTACGGGAGAGGGCAAATGGACTTCTTCATCCTTGCAAGTTGCCCACCCTTCCTTGAGAAGGTGGCTTCTGGTTGGGTGCCTGCAGATGTCACCGGTGGTGACGGCACGCCATTGAGGAGATGGCATCTGGCCATCTTCACCAGAGACGAGAGCAGGACGGAGAGCGAGGAGAAAGTAAAAATAACTTCTCCTTCATGCCAGAGGAGGTGAGAAATAACAACTTCAGGCTCTGAATTTGCTTCTCACTCCTTGGTTATTTCTGGGAACAAGACACCCAACTCATTAGACCCCGTGGTTGTTATATGCGTCACTCGTGTGAGGATATTCCAGTAATTAGTTGGTTGGCTTGATGGGTTTTCCTCCATTCCTTAAAGAGCTGAGCCTGGCTTGATGGCACATAATTATTTAAGCTGGCTGAATAGCTCAGTGGTTGAGGTCTCTGGATGTGG